GGGGGGGGGGGGGACTCCTGCTCCACCCATTGTGGGACAGCAGGCAGCTGCAGGATGCCCACTCCCTCCACTTGGCACTGTGCACAGGTGTTTGAAGGGTGCCCCTGGCAATGGCAGGAAGCCAGACTGCTTTTGGCTGGGAGCTGCCACCAGCTTCTATTCTGGCTCCTAAACACAAACTCACGCTGCTGCAAACCTTTTAGAATCAGAGTTTTGAAATAAAGGAAACTTAAAGGTGCCAATCCAAACTTTTTCTTTCATAGGCAGGATTTTGTAGATTTTGTAGACGTCAGGAAGGACCCATTCTGAGAGAGATGTGGGCCTCGCTGGGATTGGACATGATTTCTAAGCTGGCGCTTCACTGCCGAGTCCCACCCGCGCCAGTGGACGTGATTTCTGGCTATTCAGGTGTTTACGGTACAAAGGAAACGGTCGACGTGCACACAGAACCCGCACGTGAACATTTACTAAGAAGCTACACAGCACTGCCTGGCACAGTGCTGCAGGCTCAAACGTGTTTACTCAAAGAACGACTGTCCCTTAGGAGGGGTGTGTAAAGTGAACCTGCCTCCCCTGTTCCCATGGAGTGTCACTGCAGAGGATACTACAGAGGTGGCAGGGTCACTGGAGGCTGTGAGGGGACCGAGGGCACAGGCTGCACAGTAGGAGTGAGTCAGCTTTGGGACAGGTCCACTCGGGCAACCGCCTGAGGCCTGTGCACAGGCCAGCTCAGGCCTGGTTCCAGCTGAAGACCCTGGCCCCAGCTCAACCGGAGGGTTCCTCAGCCGGCAGGGGCAAGTGGCATGGTGCTCTGAGCAGAGACATCTATAGAACACACGCACTCTCCTTGCTGCGTCTGAGAGCATGTGGTGAGGAGATGCATGGCTGTGTCTTCCTGGAATCCCTGTCCAGCTCAGGGGGAGGGGAGTGCAAAACCCCTGTGCCTTGGGCCTGGGGCTATAGCCAGGCAAGGGCACTGGGGCGGGGTCAGCTGTGACCGATGGGGAAGATGCCCGAGGGCCAGGGCAGGAGAAACCAACCCAGGCCAAGAGCCATCACTTACTGCCACCTCTGGTTGTCACCAGCCCCCCCCACCCCAACCTTCTCCTTTTGAGCCGTCAGTACGCTGGCTGCTCCCAACAGTACAGACCCTGACACGGTTCCTGGAGCGGAGCTCAGCCACCTCTTATGACATCTAAGCCGGCGTCTGCAGGGGGCGAGTGGAGCAAGAACTCAGAGGGCAGCACTCCTGGCAAAGGCCAATTTTACAGCCCCTGGTGCTGGCGTGCCAAGAAGGTGTCCTTGGGACTGGAAGGCAGGACAGGGACTTGGCAGGCTGGCGCCTTCTTGATCTGCCACAAGTGTGCTCTCAAGAGAGATGGTGGCCACCTCTCACGACCCACTGTTCAGGTGAAGCCTCTGGCTGACACTGTAAGGGCCTGAGTCCTGACAAGTGTTTCTGCTATTTAACCAGAGGGGCTGAATTGAGCAGGAAGAACATGCAGGGGACAGTGCCGGCCACCCCAGTGCCTCAGCATGGAGGGGAGCGGCCCAGCCCCAACCTCAACTGGAACATATGGGTGACTCCCAGTGAAAAGGGTAAGTGAGCAGTTCATTGGTTACCCAATGAGCCAAGGTCCCTGACTCCCTGGTCCCCAGGCCCAGCCCAGGGCTCACCTGGATGATGAAGCCAGTGGCAGAGCACTGCCGGACCCACAGGCTGAATTTCCGCTTTTTCCTCTTTCGCAGTTCCCGCTCCGTGCACGTGGCAATGAACACAGGGTCTTCGTCTATCAGGGGTTCATGTAGCACCTGCCAGGGAAGAAAGAGCAGAGATGCTCACGGGAGGCAGTGTGAGCTCAGGGCGTGATCAGATTTGGGCTCAAATCTCATCTCTGCCTTGGACCTGCTGTGCGGCCTTGGCTCAGTTTCTTTTCCACTCTGATCCGATCCTGAGTCTCCTCATCTATGAAAGAGTAATGTCAGTGTCTGCACCAGTGTTTGGGGAGGACTAGGTGAGAAACTGGATGCAGAGCCCTTAGCATAGGCCCTGACCTATAACAAGTATTTAGTAAATGGAAAAAATAATATTTTTTAAATAGAGGGATCTCCAGCAGGGGCCCTGGCCTCTTGCTGGACATGCCTGATGGCAGGCACCCATTTCTGTTCATGGAAGACCTTTCCACTCATGGATGATGGCTTCAACGGCTAAAAAGTTCTTTCCCTCACTGAATCAAAATTACTTACATCTAACTTATTGATCTGACTTCTGCCCTATGAGAAACAAAGAAAAACACATACTCTTTGTTTATATTCAGATAGCTCTCATGCTGGCCTACGACAAGTTATTTCCTGGGTTCCTGAAATGACCAAGTTCCCTTCCGACCCAGCCTCAGGTTCTTTCCCAGGTCACCATGTCCTTTGTGACATGGGATCCAAGGCAATTTTAAAAATCATGACACCTATTTTAGCTTTTTGATAACATGGTTATAGGACATTTTCAGTGACAAGGCAATAAAGTAAAAAGAAATGGCACTGTAAAAATAGGCCCCAAGGGGTGGTCATTCAAAGTTTTGTTCCTTTGAATTAAAGCTTTTTGGGGAGACTTTTGGGTAAATTTTAGGACTCAGCTATATGCTTCTCTCCCCAATCCTAATTCAAGCTTAATTATTAATTGATTCATTGAAATGAAGAATAATAGGAAATAATAGGATTCCAAGAACTCCACAAGATGCTCTGGATCAGGGGCCAGATCTAGTCTGGCCCTCTCTCTGCCTGCTGTCAATAAAGTTTTATTGGAACCTGCCATACTCATTCATTTACATGTCACTGATGGCTGCTTTCAGGCTACAATGGCAGAGCTCACAAGTTGCAACAGAGATCTTATGGCCCACAAATCGAAAATACTTACTATCTGGCCATTGGCATAAAAAGTGTACCAGCCCCTCTCTCCACAGTGCCTTTTGAACTTGTACAAACAATCTAGTCACCTGGGGGACTTACTAAAATGCAGGTTCTGATTCAGTAAGTTTGGGGCAGGGCCCGAGTTTCTGCCTTTCCAACAAGGTCCCGGATTATGTCAGAACACGATGAGCCAAGGGCAGAATGGATGGTAACATTTACTATACCCTTCCATTCTTTCACTAATGGTGCCTGAGTTCCAGAGTAGCCTGTAGTGTTGGGTCTCAGTTGTATACGCCGGTCCCCTCGGCTTTTCTGTTGGAGGCAGGGACAAACCACCCCCTGGCTTGTGCTCATGAAGGGAGACCTGGAGAACTGCCTGGCGGAGGTGCCCCCAAGGCCCTCACGCCTGCTTCCTGAACTGGCTAGCTCCGTGCTGCTCATAAAACATTCAAGCCCCATTTGGAACCACTCTAGCAAAATGGACAAATACCTGACTCGGTAGGAAAATGGAGCAGAGGGGGTTGGGAAAGGGGCAGGGACAGACTCGCTTTTGCTGCCCTCTCCCACTCACCCTCTGAAAGTCTACGCACCCCCACTCTTCCTGCACTTAACGTGTAATCAGTTGCAAATCATGTGCCTCACTGGCACAGAAGGGCAGGCAATTTCTGGTCCTCTGTTCTTCCCCTTTTCTATCTGCATTAAATGAATTCCGAGCCGGTCATTACTAAATGCAGTCCAGAGCAGTGTACTCTCCGCAGCTCCCACACTCTGCCAGAAAACCACCCCCTTCTCCTCCAGGCTGCAGGCTGGCAGCATTTGCATCAGCAGCTGTATTTCCTGGGTGCCTCTGTATGTGACAAGCTCATTTTGGGGTGTGGCAGTGGGTCTGGTCGGGGAGAGACAAAGCATCCCTTTATGTACTTGCATAATCCCTCTTTGAAACTCTGCCTCTAATTAACCTGTCCTGGAGTTCGAGAAACTGCAGTGTCTCCCTTTTGCATATGTGTGTAAGTACACGCATGGAGGCACACACATGCACACAGCTGCTTGGGTTACGGCTGAATTCCGGGAGCTGTCAGATTTCTGAAGACTCTGTAAAAGTTGTGACTCATCTCAAAGGGTCTGGTTTGCTGGAGTCAAAAGGCCCCAGGGGATAAAGGGCAGAGGGTGCGTGGGGTTTGCGAGGCAAGTGTGCTGTGCGCATGAATGTGGAGTGGGTGTCGGGGAGCAGGATGAAGGGCAAGTCACTCCCACCAGTTGATGAGGGATGGAGGGCGGCTGACCAGAGGACCTCACCAGGAGGCATGAGCAAGAGCTAGGAGAGCCATTCCTGTCCTGCCCACGTCCTCTGGCCTGTCCCCAGGCTGTGGCCTCCAATGCTCCTCTCCGGCTCCCTCTCCACAGCCTAGTGCTGATACCAGCTTCCACTGCTGCTGGCACAGGTGTTTCACCACCCTGGTCGTGTCCTGAACCCTGGCCACACCCCTGCCCACGGTCGCTGCATCTGACTCTCTCCAATCTCCTTTCTAGAGCATTTGTTTCCTGCTGGGATCCTGACCAACAGGGCATGGGGTTGAAAATGGCAGCAAAAGGAAAACATAACCTCACAAATACAAAGGCAAAAACTAAGTACGAAGTAAAAAAAAAAAAGATGGGGGAAAAACAGACAACCAGCATGACCAGGAAGCCCTGCCCCAAACTGAGCCTCATCTCAGGCCCCTTCTCTCTCAGCCTCAGCACCTGGAGGCAAAGAAAGGCTGCTCACAGCCAGAATAAAGTGACCAGGGTCTCCCTGTCACCCTTGCCCCCCCACACACACACACTGCCCATCTGAGTGCACCATGGAGGGGGGCAGAGCTGCCTCCTAGACACCTGCCCGCCCACAGTGCAGACACCCTGCTCAGGGCTCAGGACTGCTGCTGGGCCCCCTCAGGGCACCCATGCCTGGGGCTGGAAAGGGGAGGGCCCCCAAATCTCAGAATTGCTAGTGGGCATTGATGTGTACCTGTGAGCTACCCCAGACTTTCAGGGACACACAGGTGGGGAGACTGCCTGGGATTCAGGTCTTAGGCATCTAATACAGTGGTTCCAGAAGGCACTGACCACAAGTGGCTGGCACGCAGCAGGCACACAGCAAACATGGGTCAATGGTCAATGAGGCTTGCCCCGTGTAGGGACCAAGCAACCTTATCTGTAAGCTGTAAAATATCTGTCATCCACATGGCTGGTTCTTTCATTCTTGAGAGATACTGAGGCCCACTGAGCCCAAAGCTTTCTCCAGCAGCTCTTCAAGGACCAAGTATGTCTGATCCCAAGGATGACCAGAATATTGTGTTTTACTCTTGCATCCAGCCAACAGGTCTCTGGTTTGGTTCATTTTCAACCAACCATATATACTCAGTGAAACAAAAAATAATGCTCCAACCTGTACTTGGTCTTTCAGGGCCTTTTATAAGGCAGGGCTTGTGTCCCCAAAAGCCTCCACCTCCTGGTAGAAAGGTAGGACACACTTGGGAGACAAGAGAAAATGACATTTGGCTGCCCAGTACATGAAGGGGGGGTTCAGGAGAACAGGAATGTGGAACCCACATCGAGCTGAGACTGGATACACTTGCCAAGGCAGAGAAGAGGGCAGCTTCTAGGAGCCAGAGCATCGCAACACCTGGAAATGACCACGAGCCCAGCGTGTGCACAGAGCAGCAGAGAGAACACGCAGAGACCGTCTGAAGGCTCCTGCAACCCTAAACCGGGCTTATCTTCCTCACAAAAACCCCACGGTTTTCACCTACCAGCAAGATAGAGAAGGATGGGATCGCAAAGAGAAAATAAAAAAGAATTCAAGGCTTGTTAAGAAGGCCCTTAAAGAAAACATACAGGGCGGGTAGGTAGGCTGATGGGTCGTTAAATGTGTAAATAAAACTGAAGTAAAAAATGTCCTCGAGTTTTAGTTACAGAATCTCTAAAAATGAGCCACCTCCTCAGTGTCCTAGGCCAGGAGAGCAGTGAGGAGGACAATTCTGAAACTGTGCCACCCCAGTCAAAGGCACTTCCCAGGTCGACACCAGGGACTCTGAGCTGGGAGCAAGCAGAGACTTCCAGAACCAGTTAGGGAACCTGGGAGGTGCTAGGGCCCACCAGTTAGGCCCAGGGTTCTATCAGACTCACGACCCAAGGCTGACACCTCTGCCATGTGTGCCACGTGGACCCCATAGACCCCACCACCAGAGTAGCTCCTGATTGCCCAAAACGGCTACAACTCCAGGCTCATTCCCTTCACCACCTAGAAAGCTTCCTGCCTGTTCCACCACCACCGGATGGGTACAGACTCAGAGAATAGGTCAGGAAAACTAATGTTAGCTTGAGCAAGCATAATTTGGAAAGAAAGTATAATAATGGAGAGGAAGGATGAAGAGACAAGAGGAAAAGTGCATCTCAGAGCAAAATACTGCATTCTGACTTGTCTCTGGTCTGGAGCTGCTCATCTCCAAGTTCACTCGATTTTATGCAGATAACCTTGAAGTGACCTCAGAGTTAAGGAAAGAAGAGAAGGCCGCCCAGGGTCACCCCTGCTCCCAGCTTCCGCTGCCACCTGGCCGGGCACAGCTCCAGGGGACCCCTGGAGCCCACTCTGGCGCCAGCCTCACCTGGGTTTGGGAAGGCCTGAAGGCGGAGTCAAAGCCGCTCTGCAGGGAGTCGAGGAAGGGCTGGACCTTGTAGAGGCCGTGCGTGGTCTGGCTGGAGCGGAAGGCCACCACGTGGAAGTACTTGAGGATCTTCTCGAAGCGGGCCTGGCTCATGACGAGCGCGAGGCTCCTGTTGCTGTAGAAGCCGCTGCTCCAGATGCTGAGGACCGACTCGCAGTGGGAGATGCTGGTGGAGATCATGTAGCCCAGGAAAGCCTTCATCTCCGCCAGTGTCACCTCCGCCCAGGCGCCGTCGCTGCCGAAGCGCTCCTGGAACTTCTTGGCGTACATGTTTGTCTGCAACACCATGTTCTTGAGGACGTTGTCAGGGACAAAGAGCTGGAAGAAGTCCATGGCACTGGCACTGGGGGGCATCTTTCGGGTGGGACCTAAAACAGAGACAGGCCAAGCACTTATTGCTACAACCGTCACACCCCGTCTGGGAAGGGGATGCTCGCCCATTGCTGCGCCTCTGCCCGGGTGCCACCCTTCGTGGGGATGGGGGCTCACACACCCCACCCCGAAGCTCTACTGCCCCCCATCTTCCCAGGCCCCTGCGTGCTGCACACTACCTGGGATCCCTCATCACTCTATACACACTCCTTTCTTACAAATCTCGAAAATTCAGAAATACTGATTTAAAGAGCAATGGACAGTAAGGGGAGGGGAAGAGACTCGGAGTCTAAGGAATTCTCATCACAGGAGCTTAACTGTGGCTCTGGTGTTTGTCTTCTTGTAGAAGTCAAGAATGCTTTCACCACTTGGGGCCTGGAAAATTCCATCCAGGTGAGACTGCAATGTTTATTGGGCATTCTGTACAAGGTAACTTTCAATTTATTAGTGAAGAAACCTGAAGGTACTGGTTTAGATAATTTCATCAATGCGATAAAAACCTCACAATTTTTTTAGGAACTAATTGCTTGATTTTATTTGATTGCAATTAATTTAAATTTAAATAGCCACATACAATGGTTGAGAATGTGAATGGGCACTAAGTGCATTCAAGTGTTTTGCTATTAAACACAGCCTGAGGTGCCGCCACGGATGATACCACAATATAGCTTCCTGACTGGTGATGGTCCATGTTTCTAGGGCATTTCTCTTCTAATAACACAGAAATGGACTAGGAATGAAAGTTTAGCTTTATTATATGAAACTTTCATTCTGGAAAACCTCACAATTTTCAACTAATGCAGGGACAGCTTTTTAAAATACACACACACATCATTTGTATATATATTCAACGCTGTGCAGGTTTTTTAGATTTTATTCCCCTTTCTACAACCTTCCTCTACTGCTGACTTAGGCAGCCTCTGGAAATCAAGTTTCCTCAGCAAATCAAAGCCTGACAAATGTGGATGTAAAGTACAGCACAGTGAACAGAGTCAATACTATTGTAATAACTGTGCATGCTGCCAGGAGGGTCCTAGACTTATGGGGGGCTCATAGAGGTGTATAAATGTCTAACCGCTATGCTGTGCCTCTGAAACTAATATTGAATGTCAACTGTAATTGAAAAATAAAAACAATTTTAAAGACTGACAATGCACACAAGACACCAAGTTTCTAGACTGAGACAGATTTGGGGGGTGGAAACCCTCAATTTGCTTCTAGCTAACTGCACAGTCTTAGACAAAGCTCTTCATTTCTCCATTGTAAATGGCACTGCAGTACCCGCTGTGTGGGGGGCAGAATGAACAGGGGACACACAGATGCACCCAGCATAGTACCTGTCCCGGGTAGGTACCCAGAGCCTGGCAACTTTACTAAGATAAGACATCACAGAAGTCCACAGAGGGCCGGGGCCGAGGGCTTCAGAATGTTCTAATTGCCCCCATTTTACAGAAGAAGAAACTGAGGCCGACAGAGCGAAGCCACCATCATATTCCCTTTCATCAGTCATTTTTGGACACCAGGTGGTCGGGGAGGAGGCCCAGGCTGTCAGGATAGTGAGGTCAGGAAGACAGACAGGGCCATTAGCAAGAACAGCCTGAAGCTCACCCCCACCTTTCACGAAAGTCACTTTATTTCAGCAAAGCCCTGCAGCCTGGGGTGGGCAGAGCCATAAATTATTCAAGGGTAGTTCTCAAAGAGGAGGAAACCAGCATTTTCATTGCCACATTGTGTTGAATAAGCAGAATGAAGTTTTCTCTTCCAAAAATTATTTTAAAAGTAATTTTGCCTCCCAGGCCATTTTCAAATGAACGCACCCAGCAAACTCTGGCTTGGCCAACTGCTTAATGAAGAATTGGGAAGTACCAGCTCCCTGTTAGCTGTTTAGTTTTTATCTACAAGCATTGACCATGGGCTCTTGCAGATGTGAATCCTAGTACTTGTAAAGTGTTGGCACAGGTGGGTCACTGGGAGGGGGAGGGAGAGAGGAGAGGGGGAAGGCAGGGAGGGAGGAAACCTACTCACGAGATTCAGACTCTATCACAGACTTAATAATATGGTCTCTGGGTGGGCAGAAATCCCATCCAAGATCAGACTCCCTTACAGTTGACTCATTTACAGGGAGTTTTCCAGATATTATCCCTCGTACCCCTCACAACATCCCTGTGAAGATTATCCCATTCTGTAGGTGAGGAAACAGGAGCTCAGAAGCATCAGGACACAGTCTAAGATCACCCACTTCTAAGTGCCTTACAGCTGGGGTGACCTTCATCCCACCTGTCCCAGAGCCAGTCCAAGTGCACCTGCCACCTGCTAGAATATTTAACAGTGCCCCTCGGCTCTCCCGGTGTCCCATCTGGACAGGGGGCACGTGGCTGTCCTGCACACAGTGTGCGTACGGGTTAAGGCAGGTGCATGGTCTTGAAACCAGACAACCTGGAGGCCTCCTCCTCTGTGATGCATGTTTCAGGGCACAGTGGGATTACAATGCACGGCCAGAAGTAGTTCAGAAGGGGAAAGGAGAAGCTGTGTTGCAAAAAAATGCAAGGGCGGCATGGAATTGAGGTGGGGATGGGGGCAGGGTCTAGGGAGAACCCGGAGGAGGTGAGCGGTGCTGCCCAGGTTGACCCTCGTGTCCCGGCTGGGGCTGCAGGGATCTGCATGTTCATGGTGTACTGCCAGGTGAACCCTCAGTCCTCTCACCCCCTCCCCTCCCACCATGTCGCCCTGTCTCTCCTTTAAGGCCCATCACCACCACCCAGCTGGTTTCCCCAGACGTGTCCAGATGAACCTGCCCATTCCCCACTGTCCCCTCCTTTGCTCCTCGCCACCAGCCCCCCCTACTACCAGTTAGTTCAACCAGAAACAAGAACCCCTGCTGCTTCCTCTTCTCCCCTCACCCCTCCTTCAACCTGTCACCCATCCTCCTGTCCCCTCCACATTGTAGAACCCACTGCAGCCCTCTCACCCAGGCGGCCACCACCTCGGGCCTGGACACAAAAATAAGCCTCCCCATCCCAAAAGATTCACAGCAATGAGACATTTTTACAAGAATATAAACCAGGTCAGAACCCCCCTGCTCGTTAAAGCACTCCCACGATCCCACTTCACTTAAAGCAAACCCACGGTCATCAGCGAGCCTCCGCCCCCAATCCCCAAACTCTTCCTGGGCCACTCTCCAGGCCAGTGAGCACAGGAGAGCAGAGCCGAGTGGGGCCTGGGCCTGCTCCTCACACCCCAGGGCCCGCACGTGGCAGGGAGGAAGCCCCTGGGCTCCAGCCTCATCACGCAGCCCCTCCTCACCCCCCAACCACAGCAGACACCAGTGCCTCTCAGTCTTGGCCTGCAGGAGGTTTCCTTGCCGGGCTTTATCATCTGTGGTTGTTTTATTATGACTCATACTTGTTTTGATCTGCCTTTGCTGTCCCACCCTGTCCCCAACTGCAGTATGACGGCAGAGGTCAAGGCTATCATGTCACTGTTTTCCAGGCTCAGCACATCCCTGTGGCCTGGGTGGATGGAGAGCAAGGGAGTGGGAAGGACCACAGCCCAGCCTAGAGGAGGGGTGTCTTGGCCGAGTTCCGTGGGAAGCCTTGGTTTCAGGGACAACCGCCCCTGTGAGTGCCTGGAGAAAGGGTAGGTCAGCCAGGAACCTGCGTCTGTGCGTAAGAGGAGGCCTGAGTGGGTGGGTGGGGTGGGCGAGGCTGGGGGGAGTGGAACCAGCCCAGAGGCCCCAACTTGGTCAGCCTGGGCTGGGTTCGGTGGGGCTGCCACACCTCAGACAGCACCTCCCCCAGGCTAATGGCCCGAGGCGTCTGGAAAGCCCAGCAGGGGGCCGTGCTGAGTCCTGGGTGGGAGACTGCCTGTGAATTCGGATCACCTGAAGAGCGGACAGGCTGTGGGACAGGATGCATCACAGGACACCACCAGGCTTGGGTGAGCCGAGCCCGGATCTCATTTTGTCTGGTTTCCTCTCTCCTTCCCTTTCTGAACCACTTGGGAACTCCTCTTGGCCTGTTCTCATTTTCTTAGGCTTCCTGTCCTTCCCTGTCCACAGTGGCTGGCTGTGTGACTTTGGGCAAGCCACATAACCTCCCTGCACCGTAGTGTCCTCATCTATCAAACGGGAGGAGGAATCTCCACAGAGTGAGTGAATGTCGCAGGAGCTTGCACACAGGCGACGCCACGCTGGCAATGGCTTGTCCAGCGCCCACTCGGGCGTGAGGTCCTGTGGGAGCCGCTCCTCCCCCTCCATCCACTTCTCAACCACAGGCCCTGAGGCCGGGGGCACCCACACGTGGTGCTGGCCCCCACCTCCACCCCTTCTGGAAGAACAGGGTGACTGTGTGTGCTTTTCAGAGATGGAAACATTCACTTTGAGATGAAAACGGCATTTTGCATAAACTGGTATTTTTTGGTACAAATCAGCAGCAGCATTGTGACATAAATATGGACCACTTCATTTTTGAATTGAAGGTTTAAAATTATGAAATAATTTATCTTCAGGCTAAATCAAATAGGTATAAAAATATAACAGGAACATCCTGCATCATCACAAAAATATTCCTCTTATTTGAGGCATCGAAAATCACATTCCATAAACGGGAGATGAAGAAAACAGCCAAACTACTGTCAAGCCAGCGGCAGCGGTTCTGTGCCTTGCACTGAACTAACCCCTTCTCTTGTTTTCTTTTTCCTTCCTCCAGTAGCTGATCCAAAAAACAAGCCACCTATGTGACAAACACCCGTTTCCAGTCTCAACTGTCGAATGCAGCCCTTCAGCCACTGAAGAGCTCCAGAGGCTCTCTCCTCGTTTAACCTCTTTGCTCAGAGCTGAGAGACTGGTAACAAACTTGATTTGCAGCCAGATCAAGGAGCCATGAGCGTGAGTCCTGGTCGTGTTGCTGACATCTCTCGGGCTCAGCCCCCTGGCCTGTGTGGCTGAATGGGGCAACTCACACTCTCACTGGGCAGCTTGTGCATATCCAGG